AAACTCTAAACTTCTGACCCATAAGTCAGAATTGGATATATCATGAGATCAAAAATTGTAAAATATAAATTATATGGCAATTCATATATCTGTTAATAATATGGAGAGCTTTACTTGCTTGGTATGAAAATGTTTCTGTAGCTTTATGCCAAACATTCCTACTGGAGAAAACGATACCTAAATATTTATAAGGGACCAGTTTTAAGTTTAGGCCATTATATGACCATTTCTCAGTTTTCTTAATAATACCTTCATTTCTGAAAACAATGATTTTGGTTTTTGATAGATTAAACTTCATTTCCCATTTTTCATTAAATAGACTGAGGACGTTTATCAGTCTCTGTAGACCTATTACAGTATCAGCAAATAAAACAATATCATCTGCATAAAGCAGAATAAACAGGTCTTTCAATTCCTGTGTTATTTGAATACCCATGTGACCAGCGTTTTCAAGCATTACTTGCAATTCATTTATAAACATAGCAAAAAGAAAGGGCTTAATACACAGCTTTGCCTGACCCCTACTGAACAACTGAACTGTTCTGTGTCATATGTTCCCACTCTAACACATGCTTTAACATCTTTGTATATACTCTTAATCATTGTAAACATTTTACCTTGTATACCATTTTCTAGCAACGACATAAACAACAAGGAGCAGTTGACGATGTCAAACACTTTTGCGAAGTCCACAAAAACACAATAGAATCTGCCACCTTTTACCCCCAAATATGTTTGAAAAACCAACCTGTATTTCTGGCACAACGAGACCTTTGGTGCTTACCCAAAACTGAACAAGTCATTTTAAAATGACACAGTCCCCGTCAATTTTTTCTCTTTGTGTTCGTGGAGGGGTTGTCGCGAGCATGTCCTTGAATTTTGAGTCCCAAGTGGTGTATACAACAGATTGTTTATTTACATCAAATTCAAACATGTGTTGTGTGACGACCTCTCCGGTTTAGGACATAGCAAAGAAAAACATAGATCACAAGTGAAAGCATGTTTAAGTTATCACATTTTAAACAAACAAGATGGCCGCCAGTCGGCTATATTTGATCAAATTGCAAATTGAATTGACATGTACATATATCCGTTTATGACATGCTAAATATCAATGAAAATGATACATGGGTGACAGAGATATAGTAATATGGCCACAAATAAAAACAGCCGTTATATGACCATCTTTGATCTGATTATGAAACAAAGTGACTTGTATGATGTATGTGCCAAATACGAATAAAAAATAGTACATAAATCTTGGAAATATAGTAGTAAGACCAAAAACTAAGATGGCTGTCAATCGGCCATCCGATTTTCAAACAAATTTTCATGAACATGTATCCTAACATGTATAATGTATGTGCCAAATTTGAACGAAAACTAACAAAGCATGTCCAAGATACAACATAAAAAAAAAATGCCTGCCAGTCGGCCATCAATTGCGAAAGAGATTGTCATGGACATGTATTCTAACATGTATAATATATGTACCACGTTTGAATGAAAACTGTCAAAGCATGTCAAAAATACAACATTTTCAAAAAACAAGATGGCTGCCAGTCGGCCATTTTGAATCGTATCGCTAAACCATTGCATGTGCATATGTCCCACATAAAGTAACTAGGCACATGGAAAGAATGAACATAATCAATCTAAAGGATCCTGAAATATGACCTCGGACGACGGA